CCAGTATTTTGGGTGATTTTATCTCATCTCTTTCATCTCTCCGATACCTTTTCCACTCATGCAGCCACGTATCATCACACTCAGCTCAGTGCTTCACTGACAACACTATGCATTCACTGCGGTATCCCTGGCCAGGTTCATGCCAAAACATGCTGAATCTTAGCTGAGCACATTTATTTTGGTCTCATCTAACTTAACAAGGAGCTGTCAATATTCATCACATTCTAGCAAGTTTTGTCGTGCATTTTTTGTACTTATTAGCAAGTTTTCTTTTCCCCTTTTTGGATACTGTCCATAAACATTGAGTTCTGTAACTTGTTGTACAAACTGTAATTTTCATTGTCAACCCCAGTGCCAAGTGTAAAGCATTTTGCTGTTCAGTTTTCAGAACTAGATAGTGCAAATAGTATCTTTGCTGTCAAGTTAGTAGCATTGGCACTGTGTCTGTGAGTGCCGACACAATGGTGCATTTTTGCTGCTGCAACTGTGTTTAGTCATTTTTATTTGGCAACAATCTTCCAGTTTCTTCACCGAGCAGCTTTATAATGTAATTTTTCATATTGTCTGGTCAAACTGCAGTTGGCCTCAGTTTGGATGCAGTGATCTTAGTTGTTCTTGCTTGCGTGTCAGTAATCATAGGTGTTGTCACTTGTCATAATGAGTCTCTACAGTTCTGACTTTGTAAAGTATCTTGATTATTCATAACAGGAAGTACTCTAATTGTCAGCTTATGAATAATTCAACAATAAGCGGTGATACAATTTTGAATCACTTAACATTGAAGTGATGATGTTTTCAGTACACAAACTGCATGTATGTTTAAAAATCAGTCCTGTCAAAACTACACAGCATCACTTGAAGAAATGAGTTGTACAATATTGGGTAGTCACTATAACAACTACAAGTTCTAGAAGAACTGTGTGCCTGTTGCATTTTTGGATCTTCCTCTCCCAGTCGATCTGTGTCGATGTCACTTTCCCCTAGCTTTAGGTTTAAACTTATTCTCAGACTTCTTGTCTAACTTTTCTGCTAACTCTGAGTTCGGTAAAGTGCACAATACAGCCGGGTGGATTTGTCCAAAAACTCTCTTGCACTTGTCAGAGGAATCGATTGGGTAATGCTAATCTGGACTCTATGCTGATGAGAGTTGTCATCGACCTGTCACAAAGGTCCATAAGTGAGATTTTGCCTGACTGAAAAGGCAGCAGGCTGTCAGAGAGGGGGAGAATTTTGTTTTCTTGTCTGCTTGACAATCAAACCTGTTATATTTAAAGACAAGGAGCAATCCCCCGAGGAAAGCTCTATCAAAGTGATTTGACCCATTGAGTGGCGGATTGACACCCAAGCATCGTGTATATGTGTTGATGTGTGTATGTATGCAGATGTTTTGTTAGTTTTCTGTAGTTATTTGTAGTTTGTCTGTATCAAATGAATGATGTGTGTGGAGTCAGTCAGCAAGCTGTGTCACTGTATCTATCCTTTAAGGGTACTATAGGCCAACAATAACAAGGGCCACGAAAGGGAAATGAAAAAAAGGCATAATTAGAGGCACAATGAAATCCTAATGCAATTACATGGAGTTCTTTCTGCAGAAAACAACAGGATTAAAGTTTAAATGACTTATTTGCAAAGACAAGCAATATAACAGTCTTCAGCCATGTTAACGGGGTTTGAGGGCACAGAATGCAAAATTCATCATGCATTATTAATAAGTTTTATATTAAAAATAATATATGCACGCTTCTAGCATCTCCCATTACAGAGGAATTGGAGCTATTGATTAAACATTTCATGTGTGCAGCTCATCATATGTTTGTTCAAAGACAAAAACAAGAACTAGGAAAACAGATCTTGACAATAGTGTGGCAGATAGTCAGTTTTTACTGTTGTTATCCTGTGGCATATGGAAGACTAAAGTGCTAAAAATTACACAAATACAAACACCTTTTCAGAGATATTTTTTATCTTCTGCCACTTGCCTGGCAGAAGATGGATCTGGTCTCTCTGTGACCTGCCGGGACAGCAGTCTAAGCAGAGAAGCCCAAACCTCCCTCTACCCGGACTACCTCTTTGTCCTCTCCCGAGGAGACAACAAGGCATTTCTAGCCAGCTGAGACATATAATCATCTCTCCAGTGTGTCCTGGGTCTGCCCCATGGCCTCCTCCCAGTAGAACATGCTCAAAACACCTCAGTTAGGACGTGTCCCAGGAGGCATCCTAGCCATACCTAAACCACCTCAACTGCCTGCCAGTTTTTTGTAAGCACACAGGTTTGTCTGCTAGACACTGACTGCAAAGCACCAGCTACGCATTTAAGGCGAACTTTAAACACACTCAAAAAGCAACAAGAAAAATGAGCAGGCTCCTGCTGGTATCTGTTTCTTTCTTCGTTCAGGTATAATCCAAAGAATTCAAAGGACCAGGGCTCTCTCTGACAACTGCCAGTGTTCCCAGCTATAGTTTGTTACAATTGGTCAAAAAGACCACAAAAAAGGAAATGTGTTTCTTTCTGAGACCATCTTTCTAAACTAGCTAATAAAGCATGGAAACAGAGTAACTAACCACTAAAGACATACTGTATGCTAACTAAGCAGGGCTGTCCATGAACCTTTCACTGTAGCTAACAGCTAGAATTACCACAGATGTTTCACTGGGCCCTGCATTTTTCTGAGGAGATCTTTTTACAGAGATGAATTAACTTGCAATCCACAGCTTATGTTGGGCCCTTACTTTGATGCTGGTTGCTAATTAACCCCAAATCTTTACATCTAATCTAATTTTTAAAAAAATATATAGCCTGCTCAGCGAGCTTTCAAAAAAGCTAGAGGGTTGTTTACAAAACCTTCTACTGTTTGAAAGTTTTTACAAGTGTCCTCTAGCCAAAAAGATTGCCATTATTATTTTTTTAACCAATTTGTTGTGTTGCAGTGTGCAGAATGCTTTTGGCTGAAAGCCACAAAAACAGCACGCTGACAGATTTCACCAAGTAAAGAAGGTAGTCTGCTGCTTTAAATGAAATCCTTTTAACCTAGTTAAAACTTCTCAACCTTGAGGCCCTGATTCATCAGACATAACTTGACCAAGTGTCTTTAGATTTAGACAGGCAATCATGAGGTAATTATCCTAAGTAATGAGAATTCATAAATGGTAGCCTGTCTGTTATCCTGTGTTCTTACGTAAATATCCATTTCATTCCCCTAAACAAGACATCAGCTAAGCGTTTTTCACCAGAGGGGGATCAAGACAGTCGTTAGTAACAGGTATGTGCAACTCTTGTCTACCTGTAAATAATTCCAAGGCTCATCTCATCTCACATCAAATATTTAAGTGGTTCCCAGAGTAATAAAGTTAGGATTGATTAGAGGACGTGCCCCTGCGTTAGAACGCCTCAGGCGGGATGAAACCAATAAGAGAGGTAATTATAAGAAGAGAAATGGGAGAAAGATCGAGAAGCAAGATACACTTGACTACACTTGTGTCTATCCTTGTGTCGGCATTTCTAGTTAACAAATGTGCAGGCAAGGGATAAGCATTCAATTTAACTTAGGTACTGTCCCAAACTGCTTTCATATCTGCAAAGCAAGGCAGACTAATTGAATCTATGTAAATATCTTTGCATACCTGGTGAGGTGTGCAGTCAAGCGGCTTGTCATTATTAAATTCAATCCATGTGTGAAGGCTTATGTTCAAAGTCATAAACTGCCTTTAAATTTATTCTATATTTAGACTATATGAATACTATACAGGTAACTCCAAAGCACATGTCTGCCATCTAGTGTTAAGCTCTAGTAATCACACTGTTTGAGAGGCTACTCATGGCTGTTTCAGTGTGGTAGTGGCTTTCCCAGACATTTCCCCTGAACTTTAAAAGCTGCTTAAAATATATTAATAGTCCAGGAGCAGATATAGTGTCCCTGCAGTTTGAAGCTAAAAGGGTGAAAATACAGGGTAGGTGATATGGTGCAGGAAATCCTGAATAACGTTGAAACAATGAACACATGGCAGAGTGGGTGAGAAAAAAAAGAAAGCATAAATATGCAGGTGTTAGACATATCATCGTACTTACAAGAAACATGACCAGGATGCACGAATGGGGAAGAAAGTGTATTTAAGTGACTTTGAACATGGTGTGGTTGTTGGCACAAGACACACCCTCCCACATACTTCAGAAACTGCAGGTCTACTGGGATTTTCCGGCGCTGGGGTTTACAGAGAATAGTCTGAAAAGATGAAACATCAAGTGAGCACCAATTCTCTTGCTGATAAGAGGTCAGAAGAGTGCGAGATTGTGGCCAGCTTATAGAAGCTGATAGAAGGGCAATATTAACTCAAATAACCACTCATTGCAACCAATTTGTGCAGAAGAGCATGACTGAAAGCACAGCTCTGAAGCAGATGGGCTTGAGCAGCAGAAGACCAAATCAGGTGTCACAGCTAACATGAAACTGAGACTATAAACTCACCAAAATTAAAGAGTAGGAATGAGGACTCAATTTGTGCTACGACATTTAAACGTAAGGTCAGAATGTGTCTGTAACATAAAAGCACGGATCCATCTTACCCTGCTTTGGCAGTTCAGATGTTATAATGGTGTGGTAAATATTTTCTCTGCATGTATGTGGAACCAACTGAGTATTGTTGTACACAATGGATGTGAAGCTGACAAATCTGCAGGAAGCGCATGATCGTGTTGATACGGACCCAGCACCTTGTTGAATCTGTGCCATGAAGAATTAAAGCATTTGTGAAGGCAACAAGAGGTCCAACCCAGTAATAGCAAGCTATAAATAATAAAGGGGCCAGTGAGTGTACATTTGTAAGAAAAAAAGAGAAAGAAACCCAGTTGATATATTTAAATGAAAAATGGTCTGTTATTATCTCAATTTGCACAATCTTAAAAATTTGCTAACAATGTTTCTGAACGTTCGTTATTCATGCTTGAAAATTACTTTAACAAAAGTAATTGTGAAGTTTGACTTCAGTACAGACACTTACACACATAATTTGAAATTATTTTATTATTTAAAGCTTCCCAAAGATATCCAAACGTTCAAAGATTTAGCACAAAGTTGAATTAGCGATAACACATAGGAAAACAACATTCTCAGTATTGCTGCCTTTGAATAGGAATTCACAATTATTTCAAGCACTTGTGAAATGATTCAACATGAAAGTTCAACTATAGAAAGTTTTAGATGTAACGTGATTTATTTATTCTAATCCTTGATTCACTTATTGCCCAAATTTAAACAGCACAGTGTGACACTAAAACAGCAGAATTGCCTAATCCGTGTCGTGATGCATGTAGTTGCAAAAGTTAGCATTTCTGAAAATACACATAAATAAATAGTTCCTTGATTGAACCTTACAAAGTAGATGCAAACAAGAAGAAGAAATCAAAAAATTCTGATTAAAGTAAACAGGAAGAGCCCAGAGACATTTGTGTATTTCCAGATTTCAGAGGAAAGTGTGGAACACACGGGTTTTCAGACTTTTTGTCCGTGGAATATTCCTTGTAGAGAACTTGAGCAGCTTGTACAAATTTGAGCAGCTTCCAAAGCTGGAAAAGGGGGACCAGTGAGCAGTCCGTTTGTTCCCATGAAGGTTCCAGAAAGAGGACGAGCAGCGCTGGAAAACCTCGATGCTGACTGCGTACTGACCCGGCCCCCACTGAGACACACGCACCAGAGTCACAGAAGAGTCAAAACCACAGGTGTGAGGAGAAACGCCGTGAAACACAGACTCCCCCGGCCTCACAGATGCTCCTCTCTCCCACACCCTTCCGGCCTCCTCTGCTAATCCCATTCCACTGATGTTACAGAGGGCCTGAAGGCACACATCCCCCAGGGCCTCCTTATCAGGAAACTGGAGCAGGATGGCAACAAGACGAGGCACCGCACCTTGGCGTAGTAATAGTTGCTGCAGCTTAGCTGAAGGGGAAAGTGAGCACTGAATATTAAATCAATTTATTGAGCCAACTTTATTTATTTACTTTTACATGGGACTTGTTTTAAACAAATTTCCTCACATTGACAGATTTTTTGTAAGTCAAACATTTAGCAGAAACCCTGTTGGCTGCTTTCTATTTTCCATAAAGAGAATGAATAAGATTGTATTTTCTATTTCAGTACTGTTTAACTAAAAAATAAATAAATCCAGGACATTTGATATATAGCATAAAGCAAATGTAAAATGCAGTGTTGAATTTGATAGAAGCTTCAGACTGTGTTAACTTACCGCTATCATAAGACATGCGTGAGACGGCCCTCGCTGCGTGGAAAAGCAACTCTTGGTCTGAACTGGTCAGGACCGACAACAAAGCCGCAACCAAGCCCGTGTCACCAAAACCTTTACGAATCACAGCTGATGGGAAGAAGAAGAAACCTTGATAAAGTGTATTGATAAATAATATACAGTAAAGAAAGAAGACTTTGTACTAGACTAATAACACTTGAAGCAACAGAGAGAGAAAGCTTTCGGGTTCACCAGCAAACCTATAGATTAACATTATACTTTATTTGTGTTAAATAATAAACTGTACATAGATAAAGAACAATATAAGCATTGATTACTTACATTCCCTGGCAAGTTCAGCCACTAGTTTTGCAGTCAGCACACTCAGAGGCCCTCTGCTTCTCAGGCTCAGAGCAAGGATTGGCAAGATCCCACTGATCACCACCTGCTCAGCAGCACCTTTCTCTGGACACAAGTGGAATTGCATATTTAAAAATAATTAATATTTTTGACACTACCAACACTTGTTGGATTCCCTTTATATAGCCTTAGAAGAGTTTCTCTTAAGAGACTGCATAGACTATATGTCAAGTTACCTGAACTGAATCTTGTAATAATAAGTATATAAATACAGGCCATTTGTAATCTGTTTTTTTGCATGACCTCTCTGACGCTTAATTCCATCTGCCGCCTTCTTATCCTGCTGTTGACTTGCTGGGAGACACAAATATAGCTTAACCTCTTCTTAGTGCTTACAACTGCCTTGTACATCTCGCTTCATGGGGCCATTTCTTATCAGTGTGGTTTTGCGGCCTATGATATAGGTGCTGTTAAATATTCCTACATGTTTGTATATATTGCATGCACCTGTGACATTAACCCCTCATTAGATTTCCATCACACACAAAAAACAAACAAAAGCCATCAAATATTTTATATTGCTTTGCATAGTGTTATACCTAAAGGAACTTACTCTTCTCCTTCATGCTGGCCATCACTGTGTTCAAATGGGGTTTAAGCTCATCTTCAATGAGCTCCACACCGAGGACTCTGATAGCGCCTAAGGCATTGTTTAAGTTGTCTGCAGGGGCAATCAGGAAAATGGAAATATTAAGAATTATAAAAGGATGGCATAAGAAATATGAATGTTACAAAGAGCTGGGCAGGGCATGAAACAAAGCACGACACAAGAGAAATAATGTTTTACTGCACTTTGAACAGTAAATATAAGAACATGAAAAAGGTGCTCCTCGTGTAAAACCTCCACACACGAAATCTAGATGTCAGCTTCTTTCTTGTTTACATTCAACTGATCAGCATTTTTTTAAGTACATGCTGAACCATGTCATCCTATGAGAAAAGCTCTTTGAAGCTAAACTTGTGCCCGGTGCTGCTTTGAGTCACATGTTTAGCAGTTATACTGTTTACTGTTTATTAGCATTCTGTTTGTTAATGCTGTTACACAGAAAGAGAAAGCCAAGGATTAGCTTAAAGCAGGAGCGTCAAACTCATTTTACATCAAGGGGCAGACCAGTAAAACCACTGCCTACAGTAATGACCTAAAGAATTCCTCCAATTGGTTCTGCCTTTCTTTACTTAGAAGTCTATAGACAAAAAAAGTATAATTTAACAATGTGTCTCAGCTTTTCTGCGTTATAAAGAAATGCTGCTGTAGTAAATGTTTTTTAAATCCATCAACAAGACTCACTGGGCGAGTAGTAATAATAAAAAAGCTTTTATTTTTCTAAAGTAATGGTTTATCTGTTACTTACTCTTACTTACGGTCTTTGTCAGTTAGAAGACAAAATAAATGTAAAATAAAAAGTAAAATAAATGAAAATACAGTTTATGCTCTTCTTCTTTAAAATTTCTATATTTTTACAGAGTTATCCAATAGGCCAGACTGGACCATTTGGTGGGCCCTAAGTTTGATATCCCAGACTTAAATAAATCAAACACAACGATTAACTCTGAACAAGCAGTGTCTGCATGGTGATATTTGATAGCAAGCAATACATGTAGGTGAGATTTTGGATGGTAAACTACAAAGATGGACAATTTAAAAGTTAGAGCTAGATGGAAAGTTGTGGGACTGTGATTGGAGAAGGTTAGGGTCAGGTTTGTAACAGATGTACAGGATTCTAGTTAGACCAACAAAGACAGTGCAAAGTTAAAAAGCATAAAACATTTTCCCTAGATACAAAAAAGACATAAAAATGATGTTTAAAAAAAAAAAGGTACGACAAGTATTAATAAGTAGGATGTATTATATATAAAATTCAGAGAATTAAGGTCTGTTTTGTAAGCTCTCATATATACAATGTCAAAAGTGTTACTGTGTTTTTGTAAAACTGTATGTAAAAGGATGTCTGGACAACTACTGAGGATCAGCATCAAAGCTTACTAATCATAAGAAGATACTCAATAATATAATATAAATCTTTCATAAGAAGAGGTCTGCCATCCTTACCGGTTATAGCCAGACAATTTGGATTTGAAGTTAGTTGAATTTACTAGACAACAGTCAAATTTGTAGAATACTAATATCCAACTGCACGACCTGCTGAACTTGCATTAAAGGTTTTGTTGTGTATATATACAGTAGTATTGGTATATAGCCTGCATACACTTGTGCAAAGCAGAAAAAAACAGAGTTAACGAAACAGTGCTGCAGTAGAAGCTTGGCACACCTCACTGCTAACTAATCAAATCTGATTTACACACTCTCTTCTGCTGTGGCCATCAGTTCATGTTTGGATACAAAAAACATTGTTTGTACAGAAAAGATGATCATTCACCAAGTATAAAGCTTCAGTTAGAGTGTTGCTCTTGTAACATAACTGTGATCAGACACATTTCAGCTTTGCTCACACTGTGAAATCCATTTAAGTGAAGACGTAATGGAGTGAAGTTATCATGCATATAAACTGTATTACCACACAGCAGTGATGTAAATGGAAAAAAAATAGATGCCATTGTTGTTCATGGTTGTGCACTATGAAGCTCAGACTTGAGGGTTGTGCAACTGTCACATTGCACAGGAATTAACAACAAAGACTGGTTGGACTGATGAAAACACATGTTGAAGAACAGGCTGAACATAGCATTGCCAGTTAAAAATTGTTTTATGAAAATTGGAATGGCCCTTTACAAATTCATAGAAACTACAGGAGAGCTTGTTGGTTTGAATCTTATCTTAGTTATAAATACAAAAAAAATAATTTCAAACAAGACAGCTAACATCTTGTTTACCTAAGTGCAGACAGTTTTATGTGAAGCACAAAAACAACAACCACCACCATGCAGGTGCTATTCCCTATTGTTAGTGTTGCAATCACAACAACATCAAAAGCCAATATCTACGATCTGTGACTTCTAACAATTTTCTTTACAGTGTAACATATTCAGTCATACATATTCAGTCATGCCACTCTTCTACTCACCATTTGGTGTGTAAGGTTGCAGTCGACTGGATCTGTTTTTGTCCCTCTGGGAATGCATGTGTTTGTGTGAGAGGGGCACATTGGGGTGCCCCATTGTGCTCCGTGCTGCCGTCTCTGGACCAGTCGTACCTATCTTAGATCGACATGTTTCAAAACGCACAGCACTTTTTAAAAGCTGTCGTCTTTTTTCTTTTAGTGCCGTATTTTCGAGTCATTAGCTGCTGCTTGGAGGACCCCCTATTTCAACTTACACATCCTTTTGACGACAGTGTATTTCATACCTCCCTGCACTGTTGCTTTTTTCCCTCTATTTTCCTACAGGTCTATCTACTCTGGCTTCCTTGTGCTCCAGCTGACTCTGTGTTCCCTGTCAGGGTTAATACAGAGCAAATCCTCACTAAAGCTGTTCTCTCTTCCACTCACCGCTTGTGGATATGTGTGCGTGTGCACTGTTAAGGTATTAGCACTTGGCTGACTCTGCTGAGTGTATTTCTATACTCCCGTAATGCCTTTCACCTTCTATAAAAATCCAAGTCAAAACAGCACAGACATATGGACATCTGTTCTTGTATACAACCTTATTATTAGGCGTAATTTTCCCCCGTTGTGTCAGTTTGGATTAGAATTGAATCTGATGAGTTTATTACAACAACAGGTGAAACGCACTGAAAAGCAGTTATTCATCTGCTTATAAAACAAGATTCTTTTAATAATAATGGATTGGATTTATATAGCGCTTTTCAAGGCACCCAAAGCGCTTTACAATGCCACTATTCATTCACTCTCACACACTGGTGGAGGCAAACTACAGTTGTAGCCACAGCTGCCCTGGGGCAGACTGACAGAAGCGAGGCTGCCATATCACGCTATTGGCCCCTCTGGCCAACAAAGTGCCTTGCCCAAGGACACAACGACCAGGACAGAGAGCCCGGGGATCAAACTGGCGACCTTCCGGTTACAGATACGCTTCCCAACCCCCTGAGCCACGGTCGCCCTTTTGAGAGGTTTGAGTATTTATGTGGGTTTGACTTTGGCTAGTACAGCTTTTCTAAATGTTGCTGCAGACAGTGCACTCTGCCAATTTGCAAAAACTGCTTTTCTGGATTTCAAGGAACAGGGTGAAGAGTACAACAAACTGCATCTATGCAGGGTGAACCCTCCCCTGCCCTCTGGTGCCAGACACCACCGGATGGGACACGAAATAGGTCAGAGTTGAAATAGCCTCAAAATGGGGACCTACAAAAATGTTAAGCTGGTGGTTATAATTTTGTTTTCAATCTTTAATCCAACTCTGGCACTCCAATTCTTCTCTATTAACTGATTATTTTAAACTAGATTTATATCGTCCCATGTACAACCAAATCAGCTCAAGCAGTGGGGTGTCCATTAGTGTCTGGCACCATTGGTTGCAGGTATTTTGGGATGTAGGGTGGTGCCGCCTAAATCTGATTGGATCAGATTGGGGTGAGTTGGTTGCTTTGGCTCTTTGATATTTTCCTGAGCAGTTTTTTCAGCAGTGGTGGGCATTAACCTGCTTACCCACCATCAAATGCAACTGCCATAGCAGTGAGGGGGTGGGTTCAGACAGCAAGGCTGTTTAAACAGGTAGGGTGACAACACTCTAGGTTTCCCAGATGAACTTTAATATTGCAGCTGATAGGGGTATTTAAAGCCTCTGTCAGCTCCTTCTCCATTTATGAGATAACAAAAAGAACAACAGAAGACAATTCTTAAAACTAGATCATCCTGTTTTACTCAACTCAAGTAAAAACCTCTATTTCCAGTATTCTAGTACAGATGTGAAAATCTAAGGAATAAATACAACATTAAAACAGGAGACAATGTACCACAAGCCAAAAAAATATAATTTACATTTGATATTATCCATGTACCAGATGTTCTGTTGACTGAAAAAATAATGTATGATTGGATTCTAACTGATACCAAGAAACAAAACCTGTTACTGAAGCAGCAAATGATCAATTTAAAAAGATATCTGGAGATTTTGGAAAATGCACTTATTGGCTTTCTTGCAAAGGCTGAGATGAGATGACTGACACCACAGCTGTATCAGGTACACAGTAAACATGCAGCAGTTTCACCAGATTGCCTAACTTAGCACAGAAAGTGGAAACAGTTTTTAAAAAGTCCATTCAAATGAAACAAAACATAAGGTTAAAGCCATATTTCATTTACTTTGCTTTAATAAAAAAAACCAAAACAACAACAACAAAAACAAACTATTGCACAGAGTGCCATGAAAACTTTGTCGTCTTGTCACACTTGTTTTTGTGCATGGATTGAACAAATAATAGAGGGGGTTGTTAAATCCTATTGTGCCCATTTTCAGCTATAGTATTTCTTATTTCATGACTACTACAACAGCTTTAAAGAATTCACAGCTATCCTACCTTTGTCTTGAGTTTCTGCTCTTTGCAAACACAAGGTTTTAACAGAAGGTGGGTGCAAAATATTCAGTGCTTTAGAGTGGCTGAAGCCTGAGCTTTACTTGTAAATATGCTGACCTCTTTATTTTAAACTTTGGGCATGTTAAATATGCACCTTTGAAACGAAATACATATAAAAAAAAAAGCCATCAAGCCTGTGTCTATTTCCAGCCTTACTGATAAGGTAGGTTAACCAGCTGTGGCTCTGACTACATATTACAACTTTCTGGAAGAAAGTGAATAGCTCCTTAAAGCCTGACACCAATATGTAACATGTTGTGATGATTTTGCGCTCATTACAGTGGGGAGCTTAATTTACCCCGACCTCTGTCTGATCGCTGAGAATCAGTTTGAACAGCACTATGACTGGGTCTTTATACTTATCATGTGAGCAAGTATCAAACGGGTCCAACTGAACCGAGGCCGCTGGATACAGTCTCGTAACCTACAGACACCAGAGTGAGGACATTACTCTCCACACCATCTGGCTTGCACGGCTCTGCCTGGGTCTCCACAGGTCCAGAAGCTACAGTTTCCTGTCTGATCTTCTTCTTGGCTCTGATTCGACCTTTGGCTTTTGAAATGAGCTTTCCTTGTTCTTTTTCCCCTCCAGACACCTTATGAAGCTTCTCATTGTCCATCGAGCGAGTTTTGCGGTGGCGTCTGCGGACACGGCGCATTTGTGGACCTGAGTCGGCCGGGTCAGAAGCTGCGACACCAGACAGGATGCGAATCTGCTGTTCAATTACCATAATAATCATGTCCAGTGCAACATCAAGCATTCCAAGACCGAGGCCATGAGTGACGTTGTCGAATGCACCACTGTTGACCGGGTCCCTAAAACACTTTCTCATATCCTCAAGATGGTTCCTAGGAGAAAAAGGGAAAGTGTTAATGTAAACTGGTCGCTTAATTATGATGTTTTATTTTCACAAGCACAGTAACCACGTTATACAGGACGCACAGTAATGAAAGACGTACTTTGTTTCAATAATTTTGGACCAGTGTTGAACTGTATTTGTCTCTGGGATAAGCTGCTTTGCCATGTTGCCATAGTCAATGTAGTCATGGGCAAAATCCTTCATATCGTCACACAGAGCTCTGGTGTCACCTAAAAAATAAATTAACCAAATAAGCAGCCGAGTCTTTCAAACTCATTATCAATTCCAAACATGGCTTTACACACACACACCTCTAACCTTCAGTGAGTTTGGAGAAGGACGAGGATACAGAGGTAGTTGTGCTTGGCGTGAGGCCGAGTACATTAAGTGACTCCAGGAGTGTTTTCTTGCTGGCTGGTCCTCTGCTGACCCGAGTGTACGCTGCCAAAGACCGCAGGGACATCTTTTCTGGAGCCTGCAGACGCCTTTTAATTTCATCATATGAGATGAGATATTTCCCTGAAATTAGAGCAAAACAGAGGGACATAAATCAGCACAGCAGGATTAGAATGAAACAGCATCTGATCAAATCTGAACAGGGAAATTGTTTTTTTAAATCTAACATTTTAAACTGTAAGGGCTAGAATCAAGGAAACATTATACATTTGCTGAATAAATGACTTCAGGGAGTTGTGGCAAATAGAAAGCACAGCCTCTTTGAATTCTAAAGTTTTACATATCAGGATATAGGAAAAATGCCCTGATCCTTAGAGTGTCTTAAAAAATAAGCAAACTCTTAGTTTTTCTCTGGGAATTAACAGTATAAGTATTATTAAGTGTGAGCACCTGTATAAAAGCAGATGTTTTGGGAGTTTGATGGTCTGGAGCATTCAGGTTCACGGTAACACAATGCTAAGAAGGAAAGACCTCAGCAACGGTCTTAGAGAAGCAATTGTTAATGTCCATGGAAAGGGTTACAAGGCCATTTTTAAACTGAGCAATCACAGAGTCAACCATAAAGTCAGAGGCGAGGTTATCTGCAAAGCAGCCAAGGCCCAAGCACAGGGGCGAATCTATAGAATGGCCCAAAGTCCTTAGACCTTAACCAAACTAAAATGGTGTGAACCTTAAGAGAGCTGTGCATAAACAATGACCTGCAGACTTTAGTCAACTAAGCAAAGTTGTAAAGAAGGATAGGTCAGAAGTAGGGCTGGGCGATATGGCTTAAAATCCATATCACGGTATAATTTGAAGCATGTGCGGTAACGATATATATCGCGATATATTCTTTTCTTCTGTATAACGTATTTTACACACTATAAGGCACACTTAAAATCCTTTAATTTTCTCAAAAATTGACATTGTGCCTTATGTATGAATTCTGGTTGTGCTTACTGACCTCGAACCAATTTTATGTTGTACACGGCGTGCAGAAATCTGTCAAAAATGTTTTAGTACGACTTTGGTAAGCTATGAAGGCGCACCGCTTGATGGATTGCCAGAGCATTACGGCTGCCGAAGTCAGGAGCATTGCGGAGTAATCTGGGTCCAAAATAGGCAAACGAAAACTGCGGCATCACTGAGAGTTAAAAACTGTCTAAATTCTTTCATCTTTAATAAAATGATCAGCGTTGCTGCTTTACCAGGTGTAACAATTAAGTTTAACATCCAGGCATCCATGAAAACAGAATGTATTAAATTCAACGGAGTGAGAAGTTAGCAGGAGGTTAGCTCGCTAGTTTCCACCTAAACATGATATAGCATGTTCTGACTGAGAGATTAATGAAAAAATTAAAACATACAGCTCTGCTATCACTTCCAACATAAATGAAGACAAAAAAGTAAACAGCAGTGACTTTTGTAGGGTTACTGAAATCAGACTAGCTGATATATAATGATGTCCGACGTGATCGCTAGCAAAACAGCTACGTTAGCATTAGGGCTGCCACAAACGATTATTTTGATAGTTGACTATTCACAGATTATTTTTGCGATTAGTCGACTAATCAGATCATGCATCCATTGGACGTACAGCGTACAGCTTATTGCACCAGCAGCATCTGCTCTTATATAACTATCATTAGCTTACAGCTTTAAGTGTTTAAGGTATGTGCTAACTAAAAATAAAGACAAGATGATAGTTTATTAAATTTTAATGAAATTTACAGATTGTTTCAGTGAAGTTTAACTTCTTGCTATCTAAAATATAACAGGACACCGGAGTATATTCTCGAGCATCTCACACTTCTGATAATCAGCTGTCTGCTTGATGTTTATTCAGCTGTGTAAAAACTATAACTTTAATTTCAGCCAAACAGATTTACTCAGGAACAAATAAAATACTAAAAAAAGCCAAACAATAACATTTTTAAGTTATCTAAGTGACTTATTCATGTTAAACCTGAGTAGCGA